ATCATTGATTATGGTTCTACTATGAGAGGGATTCAAGCACACAATCCAAGAATAAAACACAAAGAAACCACCACGGGAGTTCAGCCATGCCCTAGAACAACAACCAAAAAAAAAAAAAAAGGATTTTTCCTCTCTCTCAATGTGTATAATCTCGGCCATGAAAAAACAAGTTGCAAAAATCACAGATTTTCCAAGCCATTATCATCATCATCAACAAAATTAGAAAGAAAAAGAGAATGACAGCTTACTATGAACAAAAATGGAGGAAAGTGAGTTTCTCTCTCCAAGCACAAAACCGGCCGTTCTTTTTCCTCGAAAATCGACGAGTTTCACCCAAAATCCAGCGAAGGAAAGTGATTTTCCAGCGAAATTGGAAAAAACTGGTATGAGTTTTCATTTTTCACGCAAATTCCCCACTTTTTTCCGACTTTCCTTGATTTATCTTTCTTGTTCTTTGTTTTACTCTCAATTGTGTGAAGAAATAACTTGTTGGGGTGGGTTTCTTTTAGGACGCGTTTGGTAACATTTTTAAAATGATTTTGTATGCAGTACAAAAATAAAAATGAGATGGTTTTGAGAATTATTCTAGGCCGATTTTGAAATTGCGTTTAGTTAATTTTTTAAATAATTATTTTGAGTATAATAAAAAGGTAAAATCGTATTTGGTTAAAATTATTAATTAATATATTATAACATTGTTGATAAGTACTAGAAAATAAAAACGGAAAAAGAGAGATAACTTTGAATCGTTTTCTATCGTATTGAAACAAAAAACAATTAATAAAAAAAAATAAAAAGGTTATTCAATCAACTTTCTCCGTGTCTCTAGTTTCATCAAGCTGGAATCATGACTTTTAATATATACTTGACTAAACCCCACATATTGTTTGAAAAAAAAAAAGAAGAAAAAAAAAAAACCCCCACATATTGAGTCCATATTTGATCCCAATATTATATACGAAAAAAATGTCAGTGACTCAGTGTAGGTAATATACTAGTGTTGATAATGAAATTAGATATTATAAGCTGCATAAAATACTTTTTTTAAGCCAAAAAAAAACGGAAAATAATTTCTTCAATTTTCTGCGTTGATAGGTGTCCAAATACGATTGGTTTTTTGTTTTCCACTTCAACCTTAGGGGCTAAATGCTAATGAAGGTGAATTGGTCTTGATCCACTTCTCCCACTAATAAAAGTCTTGCAGATAAATGTACAATATAATAGCCCTGCTAAATATATTCAAAGATATATGTGCCTCTGCCCACTACAAGCATGAAGCACATTCAAGAAGAGTTCTCGAATAAGAAATGCATGGCAACAGTCGTTTAACATGACCAAGTAAGTTTAAAGCCATAAAATAATACTTTTAATTAAAATAAAATAATTCAAAGTTAAGCAATTAATTTAAGGGATTAAAGTAGAGTAATTATGGCAATACACATTAAGAAAGAGAAAAATAATTATAAAATGACACAAACAAGCTACAAAATGTTAAATTTTCATTAAACAAGTGTAACACATAACCGTAATAACATGATACAGCCAGTTTACCGAATAATTTTTCCCACATAATTTTCAAATGGTTAACCCCCTTTTATTAGTACTTCGGAGAGAGGCTAGCTCCAAATTTCTTGTTATATATACTAGTTATGTGGATTTGTATTAAGACTAGACTTCGGTCGAGAACGTTAAATCTGTGTTAAAGTGTGATAAATATTGTGTGGTGTAAATAAGTAATACATGATGAACACTTGTATTTTATATCTATATTTGACATGTGGACACAGTTCTGTACGTCTTATGAGTCAAATTAAAATTAAGATTTTGATTCAAAAATTTCTTATATAAGCAGAAACCCTATATTCCAGAAACTTGTCAAAATTGTCACTAACCTCGATTTTGGGTTGTGAAACCACCGGTGGTCCACCATGGTCAATTTGTTACGAAGAAATCAAAAGGAACATATTTATTGGCAACGACTAGTGAAATCCCAAAGTAAAGTGTTTGAAATGAGTTACATTAGAAAATGAAATAGCTAGTTAGAGTACGAATGACAGAACCATCATCTTCTCTAGTTATTTATTTATATGTTAATTTAATTATACTAGACAAACTTTTTTCAGGCCATACTTGCCAATTTCTTCTCAAACATTTACGATTTTTTTCATTTTTTTTTTCCAAATAAACTAGCGAGAATATACTACTAGTGTACACTAAGATGATGATGTGACGTTGCATGTTGAGATGAAAATAATATTAAAATTTTATATTCTATCGTCTTATTAAATGTTATATTATATGAAATCTCAATATGAATTTTTTATATTCTATCGTCTTATTAAATGTTATATATATTATATGGTTTTAGTGAGCATTGAGCATGGATTCGAACACGTCATTAAATCTTATAATTTTCTTTTCAAGTCATTTATCGATTTACATGACCTTACTTTTAATTTCATGTTTGACCCTAAAAATGTGCGAATTAGAAAATTCTTATTTCACACAACATTGTAATCTTTTGTTATCTTTCCAATGACACTTTACTCGCTCAATTCTGATATTGGAGTAAAACGTTATGGCCAAAATACTAATCAGTCTGAAACGTTCGGACGGTACTGTGTTCATACGCGAAAACTTGTGAAAACAAAAGAAAATTGGCCAAAACTTAAAAATAAAAAAAATACAAAACTTTTTGCGGTCCCACAATGTTTAGGAACGAATTTTAGTCCTCATAGGGCTTAAACCGACCTAACCAAGCCTATAAATATATGTTTTAACCCTCATGTAAGTGATTCTCATTTTAGCCACCTTAAAACACTCTCTCTCTTGCTTTCTCTCCAAGCTGTATCTCGTGTTGATGAATTGAATGATTCTCATGTTATATAATTATTGGTGATGATATGTTTATGATAATTAGATTTATTTGGATTAAATTGCATAAATTGAATTATATGATTATGTAAATTATGATTCTTATGCAACATTAGATCAACCAATTAAACTTTTCATGACAGTATAATTTGTAGGGATTGCTTTTTATATATTTAATTCCATGTTTGTGTTTAATGCTTCTTCAAAATCCTAAGCTTTATAATATGAGTGTGTAAATTATATATTATGAGTATATTTTAGTATGATTGTTAATCATGTTAATCATTAATCTACGTTTTAATTGAAATTTTATTGAGTTTGGGATTAATTATTAAGCATTTGAGCTTTATGTCATGTTTTCATGCAAACACCCTGAGAGATTTTAACAACTGATAGATTTATACTCTCTGTTATTATCTTTTTTATATTATTTTTCTTAAATAGTAGGCATCTTAAGCTTCGTTTTGATATATGAACTACTGAAAATGGAGATCTGTAACCTAAAATAGAAATTAATAAGACAAATGTAATAAATTAAGTAGTTGACAAAAAAATTATGGTAATTGATGAGATTTGATTATTATTACGTTATCCGATCATATTTTTATATTTTATAAGTAACTACCAATAGAAATATATATAAATATTGAAAATTGTAACCATGCCATCAAATTTCAATATATATTAGTTTTTAAGAGAGTACTATTATAATGTGAATCGAGTAAAACAAAATGTGATATTATAGAAAGCGAAAAGAAGACTAATTAAAAAGATGATTAGGTTTATATATGTTGATTCAGCGAAAGCCTAACAAAAGCACTAAATTCGTGTAGACTATAGGGAATATAAAAAATGTTAAGATTAGGTGTTCATAAAGCATGCCAATATTATCTTTTGAAAACACATATATAAGAAATGAATTATTAACTCTCAAATCAATAATTGCACCAGCCATAGGAACAAGCAATACATCAACTGCCTTTATGACCACCACTATTATGCGTCAAAAGTACCAAATGTCACACTGAAAGAGGAACAAACATGCACCAAGCTTCTTTAACAAAAGCGGTGGCCCTTTTTTAGCGAAAGCGGCGGGAACAGAGAGAGAGAGAGCATTGGTAATGTATATAGTTGTACTAACCAAGCATCTTTCTCGTGGTGATTGCTCTAATTTCTTTCCCTTTTGAAATTCGTTTCCTTTTTTGCCTCTTTTGGTAAAAGTACGCTATTTCATTCTGAGTTTAGTAAAGCATATCTCTTAATACACTAATTTTAGTATCTTATTAGTTTTTGTTTTTTTTTTTTTTTTCTTTCAAGAATAGTTCTAATTTCATATATATTACTCATGTTGATCAAGGCCTAAGCTCCAAACAAATGGTAATTAAATTCAGGAAATAGATAGAGATCATAGAATTAATACGAAGAATGAGCATGTTAATACAAACATTTAATGGACGTAATCCCCATGCATACCCTACTGGGCAGAATTATTTTTCTACCCCTGAAAAACACGAACTCTCCGATATCTCTGTAAAATCTAAATCTGACAGCACAGAGTCAGACAATTTAAATTTAAATCTGTGTGTTTAAATCATTGTCGGCTTGTCCGATAGAAACTCAGATGAGACATTCAGTTTTTTCGAGGCAACGGAAAATATCAGTGACCAAGTTATTGAACCTTCAGGTATTCAAACAAGGAGGGTGCAAGTACAATGTCATCGAATTCTAAATAGACAAAAATTGTTGCTTCGGACTCTGAGAAAAGTTGGTAGATCTTGATATTTTGAGGAAAAAAATTAAACAATCTGAAAGAAAAAAAGTCCACCCACAAACTTTAAGCTTGCAGGAGTAAAGGGTCTTAAAGGTTGCGTTTTTGTTCTTTTATTTTTATTTTTGCTAATTTAGTTTTTTGTGTTTCGTTATCATTCTTAAATTTCTTTTATATTTTAGTTCTGTAAGATTTGTTTCCTTTTTAATAAAGCTTTATTTTATTGAAGAAAAAGTATTATTACTTTTATATATATTCTCAGTTAGATGAAGATCTAATTACTACTAGATACCAACTTAAATATATTTGTTTTCTTTGCTGTTAAACGTATCTGAATCCATGCAAGAAATCCCTTATTAGTAGTACTTCAATAAAACATTATTATAGGCAAAAAAAAAAAAAAAATCTCAGCACACATTCAATATACCATGATACACATTCCTTTATTAGTATAACTTCCAAGGCATGCTAAATTGCAAATCCTTCTATATCTCCGAATAGCTACAGGGCGGCAGCGGAGACCCGCACAAGCAACGGTTATGGAAGTAGGCGGTGTAGTCGAACCTCTGCAAGTTCCCGCCGACCGGAATCTTCCCGCAAAGCCTGTTGTAACTCACATTGAAGAGGTTCAATTTCAGCTCCGTCAGCTCCGCCGGAAGACTTCCAGTCATTTTGTTGTGGTTGAGATCCAAAGAAACCAACGTCCTGGGAAATTTCACGGACGTCAAATCGAAGCTGAACGAGTTCCTTGAAAGGTCTATGAGCAGCAACCTCTTGTTCTCCCCGAACAGCGGCGAGGGGTCGCCGGTGAGCTTGTTCCTCGAGAGATCTATGTAACTGAAATCCTTCTTCGCCATCGAGGTGGGAATTGGCCCGGAGAGCTTGTTGTGCGACATGTAGAGGTAAAAATCACTCATCTAGGAGCGGAGGTAGAAAAATAAGTGAGAAGGAACAGATATAATTTTAAATTTTAAAAAGTCGAGGGGACAAACTATAAATTTTAATAAAATACGCATATAAAAGAAAAAAAATTAGGAGGGGCGGCCGCATAGCTAGGGCAAGGTAAGTCTACCCTCTATCTACCTGAAACTCTCCGAATGAGTCTGGGATTGGCCCGACAATTTCGTTCCGGTCTAGGCGCAAACCGCCAAGGCTCGGAAGCCAACCGATAGAGCTCGGGATTGTACCGGTAATTTTATTGTAAGAAAAGTCTATGAACTCAAGGCTCTTGATGTTACCGATGCCGGCGGGGATGGGGCCGGAGATGCCCGTCCAGGTTATCTGGAGGAACCGGAGCATGGTGAGTTTTTCGATGGAGGTCGGGATCGATCCGATGAGGTTACCGTACTTGTGGAAGAGAATGTTTTGGAGGTACGGGAGGTCGCCGATCTCGGCGGGGATCGGTCCGGCGAGGTCGCCGTAGCTGAAGCTGATGGAGATGATCCGGTTGTAAACATTGTCGCACAAGACATTGGTCCAGTCGCAGCAGTCGGTGTTTGGGTCCCACGAGACAAGGATGTAGGGATAGTTGAATGCTCTCTTGATTTTGAGAAGGGCTTCCTTGTCAAGTGGGTGGCAGCGCTCGGAGAGGGAAGCGTGAAGAATGGTGGAAAATAGGAGGGCGAGGTAGATAATACTAATTCTGGTCACCATATTTAATTTCTAGTGTTTTCTGATGGGTGTGTGTAAAATATTTGCATGAATGATTGGATTTTTAGCTAGGGTTCCTGAATCCTGCCCATGTCAACTTCAAATGAATAGTCGATATATATAACACAAAAGAAAAAAATTATTATTATTATTATTTTGCTTGATACTACTAATCATTATGTTTACGTTACGTGGAAGAAAAAAAAAAGATGTGCCTTAAATATATAACATACTACTATTATTGGTGTTTCTGCTTTGATTTTATTGTCATGTGATCCATGAGCTGCTAGAGTAGTACAAAATAATGAAAAAGGAGATGACTATATAGGGTCCATGTTATTATTTTGAGTCAAATTGTTAAAAGTCAATTGAACTGTCTTCTCTTTTTAAAACCGGCCTTGTGTTCAAAATTGTACTAAATTTAGGTTTTAAACTACAAAGATTCATCAAAATCAGTACATGTATATGTTAAATAAATAAAACAGAAATCATTAAATATCAGTAGCTTAGAACTTGTTTTAAAGAACTTTTTTTTTTAAATAAACTTTTTATATTCTTTATATTTTATAGCAAAAAGCGTTTGATAATCTTTTTTGTTTTATTTTCATTATTATTCTAAAATTTTGTTTAAACTGAGGAAAATCTATAATTTTTTTGAAAAAAAAAAGATTAAAACAATTTTTTCTCATCATGAAATTTTTATTGCTTCTAAAATCATGACCAAAATTGAGGTTGGGGTTAGAGCAAGACTCGACATCATACTTATAGTTGAGGTCTGGATCAGAATTAAGGACATCTCGTGGTGGTATTAGGGTTGATACGCGGTCTGTGTCAACCATGGTCCTATCTCGATTCCAACCACTGTGGTCTTGACCTTGACGACAACAATATTATGTTCTCCAATCTTCACCATGTCGATCTCTATCTTGACCGTGAATCTAAGTCTTTGTTTGGTAGGAGGAATGGAGAGAGGAGGGATAGAGAGAATTAAAGGGTCGGAAAAGGAGAGGGATGGAGAGGATTATGCTAATCTTTTATGTTATTTAGTAGGAGGGAGAGAGAGTTTACAGGATGGATTAATGAATGTTTATTTAATTATTATATATTGTCCTTTTATTCCATACTAAACTTTTTGAAGGATAAATGGTGTTTTCAATCTTTAATGAGTGGATTATTAGATGAAGCCTTCCACCGAGGTGGAGAGTTTCCCTCCTCCTCTCTCTCCAATCAAACAAGAGATCGAGGCTCTTCTTCTATCTCTCTCCCACCACCACTCTCCCTCTCTTCATCTCTTTGTCCTACCAAACAATATACTCTAAGCCTCGTCCTTATCTCCATTCCACAGAAGAAATCCTTTTTCTTTTCATTTTTTTAAAGTTTAAAAAAGAAATGTGTTTAAACGAAAAGCAGATAGAAAAGACTGAAATGTTTTCTAATTATTTTTTTCACACATGACCTAATCTTGGCACAAGTTTAGTTCAAGAACAAAACTTGTTCCAATTTCCTTCATCAACTAACGTTATTCGTCCGTTCATTTAACGGAGGGAGAACTAAATTTGGTATATTTGTTTAGTTTAGGCTAAATGTATTCGCATAAAAGGAAAAAAGTTCATGGACTTTCGCGAACTTAACTCTACTCTTTTTCTAGGCGCCGTTATTATTTTTTTTTTCCCCCAATTATTCGGTCATCTAATCCAGTTAGACACATTGTTTTGGCTATTGTCCAATTATGATTAGGTAAATTGGTGGAGCGCCGGATGCACTAACTTCCAGAAGATAAATGGTCAATTTTTTTAAAAGAAATTAACGAAAATGATTGATAATCATTATTAACTATATATAATAATTGGTTTTTAATAAAAAAATAATCGAATTTTTGGTGTAAAATATTAATTTATGAGTTGTTATTCTATTCGACAAATTCACTACTAATAAATAAGTAAATCAATCTGAAAGGTCCGTACAAAAAAAATTAAAAAATCAATATGAAAACGGCCATGTTTTTAATCCTGAATATATTCCAGTATATCGTTTGGCTCATTCTTCCAAATTTACCTTATGAATATCCGTCTTTTTTTTTTTTTTTTTGAAAAAAAGACTGTTTGTGCTCGTTCGTTAATGAATGTTAGTAATATAGATGTGGCTGGGATAAGATCAAGGTGTAAGAGACAAAATATATAATTAATACGATTGCGTTACCTAAGATTTGCTTATGGTCAAGTTTGGCATTATTGAGTAATTATTGAAATATTTCTTGCATCATTTTATAATTTATCATTAAGGATATATATAGCAAATGTAAACAGTGACAACTAAAGCGTTTTTAAAATCTACTAAGTAAAAACATGGTTTCGAAAACACTATAATCTGTTGCAGACTAACAATCTAAGCAGCTTCTTGTACAAAAATGCCAAACTGAACTTAGGTCCAACAGAGAAATCTATTAGGTTCTTCTTTTTTTCCGTAGAGTATCTGTAACCCGCAATCAATAAAAATATATCCATTCGCTTCGCTGATTTAAATTTGTAGATTTAAACTTTTAAATTAGAACCTTTAAATTTGAACCTATATGTAGGTTTTCTGTAGTTCAAAGTACTATGAGTTTTTAAAAAAATATTAGCGAAAATGATTGGTGGGAATATTTGAGTTGAGTTTTGAATAGTGGGATAGCAACTTAAGAACTTTAAGGGGGAGTGGATAAGTTTCCAACCTTTAATTTTGTGTTCAAATAAACCTTAAACTCAAATTTAAGTTCAAAATATTATACAAACAAAAAGGGTTTGGGTTCATTTTTGGGTTCAAACCCACCTCAAACCTCCAACCAAGCTCATGCATATCATGTACTTGCTGCAAAAAAAATCACTAAGTAGACACATTTAGGCCTCCAACAACACATTTTTTGAGTCTATTCTTTTTTCAAAAAATTGATGAACTTTACTTTAAGGATCTGAATTTTTATTTTTTACTCTTTGATTAATACTCTTTTAATTAATATAGTTAAAAATTAATGGGCCAATACTTGTGTGCCAGATATCAAATGGGTATTTGTCTCATTTTATCTTTTTCTTTGTTAAAAAAGAAAAGTTTGGGTGGGGCGTTATGAACTTCTTTTCCTAACTAAAAAAAAAATCAGGTGGGGCAATATGAACTTTTATTTTTCTGACTTACGAAATATATTTTCTCGATCAAGCAAAAAAAGGACACAAAATATCATTGTAGCGGAAGAAAGAAAGAAAGAAAGAAAGAAAGAAATCATATTCAGTTTTCCCTTTCGAGGCAATTATAGGAAGAAAGAAATCATCATTGCTTCTTTTTTTGCTTTTTTTTAATTATTAACAAGTTGGGACATATCATTTACAATAATGCGAAATTTATATACTAGTGATAAGAATGATAAATCAATGTCGATAAATGTAAAAGAGCGCATGTAAAAGAGTACTAATATTATGGAGTGTTATACAAGTGTTTATTTATACAAACTAGAGGAACAAAAGTCGACATTTCCGAGACTCCGAGGAATCAAAAGAAGATTTCTAAACTACGTACGGTATTGTAAAAAAAAATATTAACATTTCTAAACTACGTACGGTATTGTAAAAAAAAAAAAAAAAAAAAAAAAAAAAAAAAAAAAAAAAAAAAAAAAGAAGAAGAAGAAGAAGAAGAGGAAGATCGGAATTAGGTCCTGAGAGATCCATTATTTAAGTGTGTATTTGGTTGCGGAGAGCGGGGAGGGAGAGAGGTGGAAAGAGAAGAATAAATTTTTGTTTGGTAGGAAGGCATGGGAGAAAAAAGATGAGAGATGGAGGAAGAGATTTCTCCATCCTCATACACCTACTGCACTTTTGCAAGGCATACAGGCCTCTGTAATCAGTTAATTTGGGTTCAGAATCGTAGAATCCCTTTAAAGAGTTTTTGTTTGCTCTCTACACCACCCACAAAATTAAAATTTCTTATGAACCCCTCTCATAAAATGACTAAAAAGGGACAATTATAATAGATTTTATTACATTATTAAATTTTATTATAAAAACAAACTAATGACATGGGTTTTTTTTTTTTTTTTTCTCTCTTTCCGCGCACCTCACATGTTACACCTCCAAATTATAAACTATTGTTCATTTGAAATCTACAATTAAACCCTAATTTTCACGATATTTAACATTGACATAATCAACTACAGTATATATAATATTTTCCTTTCAAACATGCATTAACTTCAACACAATTATATCCCGATTATAATTACTTCAGAAAGGCTCATATCTAGACAAAATACATTCGATCAGACATAAACCAAAGGTAAGGATTTTCGCAAGCGACAAGCAGCTTTCCAGAGGTGACCCGCACAAGCAACAATTGTGGAAGTATGCCGACTCTCCGAACTTCTGCAAGTTCCCGCCGACCGGAATCTTCCCGCAGAGTTTGTTGTAACTCACATTGAAGCTCTTCAAACCGGTCAGCTCAGTCAGTTGCTCCGGCAGAATCCCGAACACCTTGTTCTCGCTGAGATCTAAGGAGACCAAAGACGAAGGAAACTCCACCTTCGACAAATCGAACCGCAGCAAGTTCCCCGACAGGTCGACGAGCTCCATCTTCTTTTTCGACCGGAACAACGGCACCACATCTCCCTCGAGCCTATTCTCCGAAAGGTCTATGTAGGTGAAGTCCTTTTTCTCCATTGAGAGAGGAATTTTCCCGGACAACTTGTTGTGTGACATGTAGAGATAAAAGTCCTCTTTCTTAAAATCTCCGAAGGACTCGGGGATTGATCCCGTGAGTGTGTTATAATCGAGGCGGAGCCCGCCTAGTTTCGGCAGGTAACCGATAGATTTCGGGATCTGCCCGGTGAGACGGTTGTAGGAAAGGTTGATGAACTCGATTTTCTTGAGGCTGCCGATGAATTCTGGTATAGGACCGGAGACGTTTGTCCGTGTTATGATAAGATAGCGGAGTTTCGTGAGATTGGCGATGGAGGGGGCGATTGGTCCCAGGAGACCGGGGACGTTGTCGAAGTTGATGGTTTCGAGGAACGGAAGGTTGCCGATTTGGGGCGGGATTTGTCCGGAGAGGTTGTAGCCGACGAATCTGAGGGAGGTGATACGGTTGGTGTCTCCGCAGTCGACATGGTTCCAGTTGCAGCAGTCGGTTATTGGGTCCCAGGAGAGAAGGATGTATTGACTATTGGTGAAGGATTTCTTGAACCTGAGGAGAGTTTTCTTGTCCTCAGGATTGCAGAACGGATCATCCGAGAGAGAAGGATGAAGAAAGGTGGAGAAGTTGAGGAGGGTGAGGAAGAGGATACTCATGTAGGGTTGCACTGTTGTCTCCATTGTTTAATTTTCTAGTGTTTGTTGTTGGATATATGACAATGCTATTTATGCATGAATGTTAATTGGATTTATCATTTTATATATAGGGTTTGTGGTCATGTGCACAAAGCAGAAAAGTAAAATATAAATTATATAAGAAAAAGGGGATACGTGGCCAAATGATGTTTCATATTTGATTGTCACGTGACGAATGAGCTGCTAAAGTAGTGGTAGAAATAATGGGAAAAAAATATAGATCGATCGACCTTGTTATTTTTATATATCTTTTTTAGCTAGGGACTCTCCTATTCTATCGAAACATCATGTTTTCTCCTGTGGTTTCAGGAATACTAGGATTATCTGTTGCGATTTCAAATATCTCATATTAAAACCTTTCTTTTAACAAGATTTGATCAAAAAAGTTTCTATGGAAAAGCTGCTTAAAGCATGTAGCTTTTACATATGCTTATGAGGATTGAAAGTAAGTTGATATATAGATATTATGAGCATGCTTTATGATGCCTTTTACGCGTTTTTGATTGCATGATTTTTTTTTAAAAAAAAAAACAAAGAAATACCGTTGCATATTCCACGAGAAATATTTTATTAGAGTATGATGTTAAGTCAAAAGAACATTTAATAAATTCCTTGAGGACAAGATAAGGTTTTCAAGATATCGTAAGTCACAAGTCCCTTTCAAAAAAAAATGGCAAGAAAGAACTATAAAGTAAGATTTAGCAATGCCATGGGGCTAAAATCATACTTACGAAAGGGCTCAAATGGAAGTTTGCAGAATAAAAAGGGTAAAGCACTTAATTGTTAAGCTTCAAAGTTTCTACTTGTTGAGTTTTGGCTCACATAGCGTGCTTGTGATAACTAACAACTATTGTGATTGACTGAATAGGAAGTTCCAAAGTCCAGTGATGAGTTGAGTTTTCCATGTTTTCATTTTTAGTTCGTAAGCATTTACAAATAACATTTTCCCTAAGCGAGTGGTAGGTGATTTAGTGTGCAACTAATCTGCTAGATTGGAAGGGGTGTTATATAGCACCGTCTAAAAACTGGTCCGTACTGAATCTCCACATAAATTTTTAAAAAAAAATATCCAAAACACCCAGTGTTTTGAATTAAAATATTAATAATACATGTTATTCTCATTAAGAATGGAATTGTGTTTTCCGTGTTAGGAATGATGTACTGAAAGCATGAGATGTAATTAAGGATTTTATTATTTAATTAATAAAGTAGAAATTTCATTATTATGTGCATCTATTATTTAATACTTTATGAATATCATTGAAAATTTCACGATTATTTGTGTAACCTTAAATATGATATATAAGTGTTATATACTAGAGGATAATATTTAAGGATAATAATCGAAACATAAAGTCCATAATGGTTATAGATTAAAGTTCACAATCTTTAATTGATCACATTATTAATACATGTCATTCTCATTTTGAATGGAACGATCTTATCCGATCGTTGATATGTCGAGATATTGAAGTGAGTGTATTTTACATAATGAGATTATGTAGGATTGGGACACAGACACAATATGAATTTCTGATAATTTCCGTAAACTATAGAAATTCTAATTGAGTCTACTGATGGCCATATACAGAATGATCTTAATCTTGAGTTTTAACAGACTCCTATTTATGCATATGTGTCTTTTGACTTACTCGGTAAAGATGTCGACACATTTAGAACTTATCCTTGTATGTTGGAGACATGGAGAAATAGGTAGCCGGGAATGCTAATATTACAATATGGAATTCATTCCTTCTTCAAAAAGAAGCAGATAAATAATTCATTTGAGGGTTGATTCGGTACTTGGATTAGTAGGAGCTTAGATTCATGAATGTGTTTTATGAATCACTATCCATTAAAGAATCAATGGTACTTAAGGATAAAGATGTAATTAAAGAGGTTAACGGATATTACCTAGCTCTAATTATGAATTATTTATGGAGGATTGATCTATATGTAGTGACTATATCAAATAGACACTTCAAGTTCTTAGAAGCAAATTATGTCTAATTTTGGGAGTGCAATTTCAAGTTTTTAGGGGAGTAACTTTTAGAATTAATAGATTTAATTAATTAATTAAAGAGTTTAATTAATTATTAATTTTATTAGAGCTCGGAATTATAGGTTCATGAGTCCCCTCGTCATCCTTGTAGTATTTGCAAGACAAGATGAATTATTAAAATTTTATTTCACTCGTGAATAATTAATTGAGAATTAATTATATGTTAAACAATGTGATTATTTTATTATTTTTTCACACACTATGGTGGGCGCACAGGGGGTGTGTGACACTGAAAAAAATCTCATTGGGATTTAGTTGCTTGCTCACCAAGTAATTCGGTTTGCTTGTTTGACAAGTTTTCTAATTAAATTCAAAGGGGAAGGTAAGATGTTACTTTATTTGGAATTGAATTTAAGCTAAAATTGGAAACTGTATTAAGGTGAGATTTTCTCCTTCCTTTCTTAATGTTGGCTGGCCACCCTATAGTAAAAAGGAAGGAAATTTTGTTTCCAAAATTGAAAGGAAAACTGTATTTTTAATGAGATTAAAAATATGGTAACTACCAATTTCTATTTGCTTTGTCTACAAGCAAAAGGGTTCTCCTAATTCTCTATAAATAGGAGACAATTAAAATTGGGGAAGAAGATTTCGATCTTCTAATTCTCTAGTGTTGGTCGAATTTATAGAGTGAGAAAAAGGGAAGAATAGTTCTTCCAATTCCCAGTTTCTTCACATACATACATTGATAGTGAAGAAAGAGAAATTAGCGAGTGATCATAAATGATAGTTCTACCCTAGAGCTCACACTCTACGTCTTGCAAGTTTCAAGGAGTAGACGTGGAAGATTCGGTTATTCTAAGAAAGCTTGGAGCTTGGATCGTTCATTGATAAAATAATTTAAGTTATCTTCCTAATCGTTAGCAAGGTATAATTCTTGAACTATATCAATTAGATTAATTTATTCGTCGTGAATTAATATATTCTATAGCGTTCACAAAAGTTTTATGAAAATTTTTGTTTGGATCCGATCCGCATTTTCACGCTTCTGCACCCGAATTTGATTTGGAAACTAACAAGTGGTATTAGAGCGGTCTATAGAATGTATTAATTTATGCCGAGATTGTAGGATAATCAACTTAATATTGAATATGTGATATTTAGTATGTATGCATGTGTTGAGTAGGCACTTTGCATTTATGGATGTTTATATTTTGATTCATGTGATGAATGTTTGGATGATGGATTTAGTCATTAATTATATGGTTCCATGAATAGGTTTTATTCATTTACAATTTTTCCAATTTGATTAAAAATTTGTAAACCTTCAGGTATAGGATTTTTTGTTGTTTATTTTTATTTGAAAATTTCAAAATCTCCCAATCTCGCCGGAGCACCACCACCCACCAGAGTGCCCACCGCACCCTGCCTACGCCCCGCCCGCGCGCCCCAACAAAATGGTGTGGCAAAAAGGAGAAATCAAACCTTACTTGACATGATGAGATCAATGTTAAGTTATTCCTCGCTATCGATATCAGTCTGGGGATATACCCTAAGAACAACTGCTTATATACTGACCAGAGTTCCATCTAAGTCAGTTCCTAAAACACCCTTAGAGTTGTGGTGTAGTAGAAAACCTAGTTTGAGACATATCCGCATATAGAGGTTCCCAACACACGTGTTGAAAGGAAAGACTGGGAAATTGGAACCCAGATCAGAAGTGTGTATATTTGTAGGATATCCATAAGGGACAAAGGGAGGTTTGTTTTACAGTCCTTAAGAGCAAAAGTTGTTTGTGTCAACAAACGCAACTTTTCTGGAGCATAATTATATAATAAATTTCTAGCCCATAAGTAAAGTTGTGTCATAAGAGTTATTTCCCAATCATATCGGACAACTAACAACAAGAGTTGTTGAACGGTGTACATAAAAGACCACAGTTTCAAGTCAGACTCAAGTACAACCACGTCGTAGTGGGAGGGTAATAAGATTACATGATCGCTACACATAGCAAGCACACCTTGTCACTGTTGATGATGGCAAGGAAGATCCATTGACTTTTGAGTCGGCAATGAAGGACTCTGACAAGGAAAAATGGCAAGAAGCCATGAAACTCAAGATGGATTCGATGTATTCCAACTCGGTCTGGGAACTTGAAGATTTACCTAAAGGAGTAAAATCCATCGGGTGCAAATGGATCTTCAAGAGGAAAAGATGAGAAAATGGACAAGTAGAGACTTATAAAGTAAGGCTTGTGGCTAAAGGTTATACCTAGAAAAAAGGAGTTGACTATGAAGAAATTTTCTCACCGGTAGCTATGCTTAAGTCCATCAGGATACTCTTATTTATTGCAGCATGTCTAGAATATGAGATATGGTAAATGGATGTCAAGACAACGTTTCTAAATGGTTGTCTTGAAGAAACCATTTACATGCATCAACCAGAGCTAAAGGTTAAGAGCAGAAAATCTGTAAACTGAAGAGGTCTATTTATGGATTGAAACAAGCTTCTAGATCATAGAACATTAGGTTTGATGAGGCGATTAAATCTTATGGATTTGATCAAGATGAAGATGAGCCATGTTTCTACAAGTGTAAGAAAGAAAAGAACATGGTCTTTCTTGTTCATTATGTGGATGACATTCTACTCATTGGGAATGATGTAGAACCCATGTCAGACGTAAAGAAGTGGTTAGCCAACCAATTCCAAATGAAAGATTTGGGAAAGACAGGCTATGTTCTCTAAATCAAGATTATTCAAGATTGTAAGAACAGGCTATTGGCGTTGTCTCAAGCATTGTATATAGAGAAAGTGTTGTCTAGGTTCTCGATGCAAAACTCTAAGAAAGGGAATTTACCCTCAAGGCATGGTATTCAACTTTCTAAAGAGCAATATCCTAAGACTCCACAGGAGGAAGAGGATATGAGACAGTACCCATATACTTCAACTGTCGGGAGCCTTATGCATGCCATGATGTGTACTAAGCCGAATAACTATTATACAGTAGGAGTGGTAAGTCGTTGTCAATCTAATCCAGGATTGGATCACT